TATATCCTGTAACTTTCTTAAGTCCTACTTTTCCTCCCTTTCAAAATTTTCAGATTGTCTTAGGAAAATCTCCAAGTTCTTCATTTTATTTTTGAGACTCCAATATTTTCTAACTCGTGTCTGAAAATGCAAGAGCACCTAGAGACATAAAGTCATATTTTCTAAGTATTACTGAACATAATGAAAATAACCACTTCCAACCTCCAAAGCACTGAAAAGTGTCCTTAAGGTGCCCCTCTCAGAATCACTATAAATGTCTTCTTTTTCCTCCTTAACTTCATATAAACCCAACTTTCTTTAAGTAGCACCTTTCAGGATGTAATGGGCTGAATGTATGTGTCATTCCAAAATATGTTGAAGGCCTAACCCCAATATGGAAGTAAAGAGGTAATTAAGATTAAATGAAATCATAAGTGTTGGGGCCCTGATCCGTAAGACTGGTGTCCTTACAAGAAGAGACACCAGATCTCTTGTGGTCTCTCTGTCTCTCTCCCTCTCTTTGTCCCCTCTTTTCACCCTGTGAGGACAAAGCAAGAAGGCAGCTACCTGCACGCCAAGAAAAGAGCCCTCAATAAAGTCCAAACTTGCAGACCTTAATCTGAGACTTCTCATCTCCAGATCTGTTCGAAAATAAATTTCTGCAGTTTAAGACACCCAATTTATGGTATTTTGTTATGGCAGCTGTGCAGACTAAGACACAAGATAAATGTAAATTTATTTATCTTATAATTGTCTAATTTTTCTTTCTTTTTTGTTTGCAAGTGGGATATCAGGATGTTTTAAAACTATTTTTCACTACAAAAAGTATTGCAGTAATATCAAATATGTAATAGTTCTCTCTGGGTGATAATTAAACAAAGTAGCGTGAATACCACGATTTCCAAAACAATTTTAAATCTCAGAGGATGACGACACCCTCCCAACCTTTTTCTTCACCTTTGTAATAGTGACAGATACTGCAAAATTGGACAGGAGCAAGAAGTTTGTACTCTAAATATACAAGCTACCCACAGGATGACTTCACTTTAAACTATAGAGTTTCACTGTGCTCGGGTGTAAAAAGCATCAAGACTTGATCAAACACTATTTTTGTGTATTAGTTTTCCATGACGACACACAATATATGTTCTATACCAACACTGAGTTTATTTGTTCAATGTAAACAAAAAAAGAGAATTTATTTGCTCACATACTTTCCTAGTCTATGATTAAGATGCTGCTATGGTAGAACTGAGTGGCTCAAAAAAAGAAAACACAGCCTCTCCATTACTCGGTTCTATGTTCCTCTGTGCTGGCCTCTTTCTCAGACAGCCTCCCCCTAAGTGATGATAAAAATATTTATCAGCAACAATGGGTTTTTATTATCACACAACTGGAATTCCAAAGAATGGGAATGTTCTTTCTGAATAAATCTAGTAAAGGTCACTGGCTTTGCTGGGTGTCTTCCTTCAGAAGAGCGAAGGAATTTTATTGGTCAGACCTGGGACTGTACCCATTTCTGAGGCTGAGGTTAAAGTCAGCCTCGCCTAAACACGTGGACCAAGAATAGGAGATGCAGTTCTTTGTGGAGAAACTAGACTATAGGGGAAAACAGCTGAGAAATTTACTCCCCTTTCATTTCATGTCCCATCCTCAATTATATCCAATATTATTCAACACAGCATATCCAAGTTCAAAAACATTAAAATCCAAAATCAAATTCTATAAGTTAAAGTTTAGAGAAAGTAAAGTCTTTCTGATTTATTGGTCTGTTCATTTTCAGCTTTAGGAATTTTTCCAGTAACACCTGTGATCTGAGATATCTCTCACTAGAATTGAGGTACTTATCCCAGGAAAAATGTTATTCCCATAATACAGTATTTATTGTGATTTAATGATATCCCAAACAGGAAGGGAAGATGGATGGCTCTCAATAGGATGCCAGGAAGTCTGTGCAATTGTCCAGAATCCATGGTCTATGAACCTAAACACAGTGAGGAGACTTCCCCCCATGGAAAATCAATTCAGGCACTATACACTGACTATATCTAGGGTAGGAGAATGTCCCCTACATAAACTGTCTCCTTTCTTATAAATTTGAGACACCACTGCCTTCTGGCAAAGTTATAAATTTGCAACAAGTACAACCCAAGCACCAGCTTTTACCTGAGATTTCTTTCTTTTTATCCTGTGGATCCCAGTAGATTTCCATTTCCCCACCGAGCTCTGTGTTCCCAGCACTGACGTACTGCACTGATAGTAAGTTTTACCTGGTAACACAACCTCCACAATATTTTGGGGACAGGCAGTCTCTTTTTCAGTGTCATATTTCAGTGGCTGCCACCACTGCCTTATTGAAGACCTGCTTATGCCTAAGACACTCCCCTCTAAAGGAAGTTGCTACTCTTTCTCACCTTGATTTCAGCTGGAAGATCTTTTCCAGACTGCCAAACTGAAGCGGCTTTTGATGTTTCTCAGCGGTGCGCCCCTAGCGGCCCAGGAAGAGCAGTGCCTCTGCCGCATGTTCCTCAGGACACCAGCATTTCCGGGCTCTCCTCTGCCTTTGGGTTCTGTAAAGTTCTTAGACATGATCCCTCAGGATACTGACAATGCCTACTTGCTTACTTTCTACATTACCTTGAAACTCAGAAACTCCAGTATTTTCACCTTTTTTTTTTTTTTTTTTGAGACGGAGTCTCGCTCTGCCGCCCAGGCTGGAGTGCAGTGGCCGGACACGAATTCTTCACATCTCCTCCACAAAGCTTTCGGGAAACTGAGTCCTGCTTCTAACTTTGGAAGTAATTCAGTCTGGTTTAAGCCAAGCTGCGGAATCCATTCCCCCAGCAAAAATTACTGGTAGGTGACCTAAGCTAGACCAGTCAGGATGAATCCCGGAACTTTTCCTTGCAAATGCTCGATAAAAGCACTCTTGCTCCCCCTACTGGTTGTGAAAAAAGAAGCATGCGCTGGCAGCCATACTACAACTCCAAGAAGAGCGCATGATAGAACTCGGATGGAAAAATAATTGTCTTTATCAAAGTATCACCTTGGAAGAGACTAGATTTACTTCAAAGAAAAACTGACCAAACTAATTGAGGGACTCCCCTTTGAGAACAGAGTGCCAACTCTAGAGCATATTCCTTTCTATATGTTTATATTCACTGGTGGAAAACCCCTGTCCTGTGAGGGTGGGTTTTATTTTTTAAACACCCTAGAAGTTACTCAAAACCAAAAGTAATTAGGTACGTGATCAATTTTAGTAATGACATTTCCAGGGTTTTTAAAAAGCAGAACTTTTTACTTGTGAGTAGTTTCCTTATTGCTAAAACACTGGTCCTGAAGTCAGTATCTCTTTTTGAGCATGTAAAACCACTTCCGTTAAATGTGGGAAGAAAATGTTTTCACTTCTTTATTGCATCTTAGTGAACTTTGGATTTTCTTTGACATTTAAAAATAGTTAAATTCTATTGAAGTCTCAAAATAGCTAATCCTTTTTTTAAAAAGTTTTAGCACCTGTACATTTTAAGGGCTAAAACTCCAAGTTTACTTTGTCAAATTGCCAGGGCAACCAAGAACAGCGCCATATTAACACCTGCGTGTGACATCGTTGACTGAAGACATTGCAAAGAGGATGTTTAAAAGTTGAATGTGTATTCTGCATAGTCTGGCGCTCTCAGACAGCCAAACAGGATAGAGGCCAGATGGTTCCATATCTGTGTGGCCTCCCACATATCTTACATGCATTTGGAGTTCCTATTTTATAGAATTAACTGTTGCCAATTCCTTGTAACTCTCAAAACCCCCTTATTATCCATTCCAACAAAGGACATAGATATAATAAAGTTTGGCAAGAAACATTTAATCCATTTCAGTTCTCCCAAGTAGTACTATTCCTCTATCAATCTAAAGACACCAAATTTTGTCCTATTTTTAAAAATACCTCCAGTGAAGGCGTTTTTGCCAGTAACTTATTTCAGAATCAAGGATTCTAAGAGTCTGGTTTTTGTTAAAGCAAATAATCACACAATTATTTTTAAGACCATGGTGAGAAATATATTGTACTGATCTTCTCAATATCTCTTTTGCAGAAAGATGAGTCCTTGTGAAGCTTACTTTTATAAAAAGTAAACTGTAGGACAGTAAACTGATAGGACATAAGAAAGTCAGATTCTCTGATAACCTGGCAAGCTTTTCCACACTTTTACTTATAATATTTTGAGATGAACAAATGATTAAGAGGAATTTTTCTTTGAGGCTTGGCTTTCCTAATTCTAGATAATAATCATTTGAGATTTTACAGCATTTTTCTTCAGAGATGCTCTAAGAACAGATATCTCATTTGTCTTCAGGAGGCAAATGTAAAATTGTGTGTTTCATTTTTTACTTTAGAAATGAATTTGTGGCCAGGCATGGTGGCTCACACCTGTAATCCCAACACTTTGGGAGGTTGAGGCAGGCAGATCACCTGAGGTCGGGAGTTCGAGACCAGCCTGACCAACATGGAGAAACCCCATCTCTACTAAAAATACAAAAATTAGCCGGGCATGGTGGCACACGCCTGTAATTCCAGCTACTCGGGAGGCTGAGGCAGGAAAGTTGCTTGAACCCGGGAGGTGGAAGTTGTGGTCAGCTGAGATCACACCATTGCACTCTAGCCTGGGCAACAAGAGTGAAACTCCATCTCAGAAAAAAAAAAAAGAAATGAATTTGTAATGTATCTAATGGAGAGCCAGAGTTTCTCCTTCTGTAAACACAGTAATAAAAACAATCTTAAGAAGTTTTGTCATTTTTAAAAATGATTCAATCATCTAAGTCCAGAAAATAAAATGGTTATGGGACCAAACTAAAAACAAAAATTAGTGAAAAGGAGACCCTCCTTTTAATTTCTTCCAATTAAAATTTTTAAAGTGTGCATTGGATGGAAGGAAACAAGAGAGTTGATATAATCGTAACTGTACATAGTGCCTAGTATATAACACAGGAAGCACAAAGTTTATCTCCCAAACAAACATGACAATGAGTTATTGAAACCACAAGCTGGTTTATTTATCAATGATGTCAGTACTTAAAGTTGTCCAGTTAAAATCTACTTCCTCTTGAAAAACAAAAATACACTGAAGGAAGATGCAAAGAGGTAGGAGTGGTATCATGATTTCACAGCAGTGATTGTAAGACAGCGAGCCACAGGGACATGGGAAAACTTGAAAAGAGACAAGTATCAGGACCAAATTAGAGAAGATCTGAGTAGGGCCATCAGTAGAGGTGAAAATGGAGAAACCTAAGGAAACCAGTGTTGGTATGAATTATGCAAGTGGAAAATACATCTGTAGAGGGACTAGACAGAAGGACCTAAATCTAACTCCAAGTACTTGATTGGAGAAGAGAGAAAGAGAATGTATAGAATTAACTGTATAGAAGCCTCAAAAATAAGATTATCAGCCTAGTCATGTAAAGTGTAGAAGTTCGTTTATTTGCTCATCACCTTTTTCTATAAGACTATTAAGCAGAAGGTCAGAACAGCAAATTTACCCTTTCCTCTCCTCTCTTGGTTTAAATTGTATAAGGAACCTGAAGAGGCTGTGGATCAGTTGGCATTACAGTGGGAAGAGCTTATTGAAGCAAGGTTGACAATAGGTCTTGTCATTCTGCTCCCTGAAAATGCCCTTCGACAACTGTGTCAGGCAGAAAGCACACACAAAGTGCTCAGGATGGAACTTGTGCCCCATGGCACTGATACAACGGCCAGTGATGGGCTGTCCACATCCATGGCAGAGCGTTCCCCGGCGGTGATGGTAATGGAGCTCACAGAATGGACGTCCATCCAGTTCAAAGAAGGAACCAGTAGAAAAACTGGTGAAGCAGTCCTAGGGGTAGAGAGAAGAGAGAGAAAAGGAATGCAAATGTCAAGAGGTAAAATGTCAGCAACGTAAAATTTTCAGCCTTGAAATTCCTGCCAGTGACCTGCCAGCTACAGGAATTTCCCTCAGATTCTTGACAAATGGAGGCTAGATTGTCTGCTTGCAAAACAGACAAGCAAATGCCCACAATGGATTTGTATCTCGTTTCTCCTTTAGGATGCCCACATCCATTCCTCATTCAGGACTGCGAATCCTTTCACTAACTGCAGCTCTTCCTCTCAGAGAGGAGAACCCTTGACTTTCCCTAAGTCCAGAAGAAAAGTGATTATACAGACCCCACAAACAAAGCATTCTGGGTGCCAGACAGTGTCCATGGCTGAAAGGTAGTTTTCCAACACTGGACGATTGCAGCCACCACACTTGGGTGAGAACATGGCTAAGAAATCCTTTCGGCAATATGGCTTCTTGTCCTTCTCATGAAAGCCTGGAGAGATAAAATCAGGAATTCACTGTTGCAGGTTGAGCCCTGAAAGCTACACTGGAGACTGAGAGGAGGCCCTTTCAATCTCAGTGTCCTTGTATTCAAAATAGGATGATTATTGTTACCTAATTCAAAGGGTAGTTGTGAGAAATAAATGAGATAATGCAGGTGAAGTGTTTGGCAATCTCAGTGTCCTTGTATTCAAAATAGGATGATTATTGTTACCTAATTCAAAGGGTAGTTGTAAGAAATAAATGAGATACTGCAGGTGAAGTATTTTGCCATTGTGTCTGGTTCATAGTAAACATTTAATAAGTGTTAGGGGCTATTGCTCCTCAGTGCCTTTGTACTAAGTATTCCCTTGGCTTGGATAGTTCTGTCCCAGAGCCTGATATAGTTGCCCTCTTCATGTGATGCAGGAATCACTCAAATATCATCTTATCAGAGAGGCACCTCTTCAGTCCCTCCTTGTCACATCATCTTCTTTCACTGTCTTTATAGCATTTACCATTATCTAAAATCATCTTTGTGATCTATCCCTCCTTACAGGAACATTAGCTCTGAGAGAAACTAGATATTGTTGATCTTGTCACCATTGTATCTCCAGTATCTAAAACAGCATCTGGGAAGAAAAAAAAGTGTCTAATATTTTAAAATAAAATACTAGTAAATAATAATTTCCAAATGGATGCAAGATCTAGACACAATGACTCATATCACATATTTAAATTAAAAATAGATGTATTCCTCTTTTTTTTATTTTTTGTGTGGGTATATTTTGATTGTTTACCAGCAGTGTATGAAAATCCCAGTTCTTCCTCAGTCTTTATATCACTTGATATATCCAGATATTTCCTGTTGAATCAATCAAATGGATGTTATCTATCTATACAATGTTATCTCATGGTAGTTTTGATTTGTATTTCCCAAACGGCTAATGATACTTAGGGTTTTTTTTTTGTTGTTGTTGTTTGTTTTGTTTTGTTTTTTAGACAGAGTCTCGCTCTGTCACCCAGGCTGGAGTGCAGTGGCAAGACCTCGGCTCACTGTAAGCTCTGCCTCCCAGGTTCATGCCATTTTCCTGCCTCAGCCTCCCAAGGAGCTGGGACTACAGGTGCCCGCCACCACGGCCGGCTCATTTTTTTGTATTTTTAGTAGAGACGGAGTTTCACCATTATAGCCAGGATGGTCTCAATCTCCTGACCTCGTGATTCGCTCACCTCGGCCTCCCAAAGTGCTGGGATTACAGGCGTGAGCCACCGCGCCTGGCCAGGGTTTTTTTAATGTGTGCATTTGCATTTCATATCTTGTCATTAATGATGTAGTCCTCTTTAATCTGGAAATAGAAAAACTGTCATAAATAGGGCCCAAATTCCAAAAGCAAGTTAAATATTAATAAATTTAGCTACATAAAAAAATCTGAATGACTTACACATGTCAAAAAAGCACCATAAACAAAGACAAAGAACAATCTGAAGAAAATATCTGCTGATTATATTCCAGAAAAACATAGCTAATACAAAGAGCTCCTAAGTATATGTATGGTTTCAATTATTGTTGTATAAAATTAAAAAGTGAAAAAATTAAAATAGAAAAACACAAATCCCTAAAAAATTCAATCAAATTGAAGCAAATTAACTGTACATCAAACTGATGACACGAGCAATAAAAGAAATAATTTGGAGATTGCTGGCAGGATGGCCGAACAGGAACAGCTCTGGTCTGCAGTGCCCAGCAAGACTGATGCACAAGGCAGGTGATTTCTGCATTTCCAACTGAGGTAACCAGTTCATCTCATTGAGACTGACCGGACAGTGGGTGTAGCCCATGGAGGGTGAGCCGAAGCAGGGTGGGGCGTCGCCTCACCTGGGAAGTGCAAGGGGTCAGGGAACTCCCTCTCCTGGCAAAGGGAAGCCATTAGAAACTGTGCTGTGAGGAACAGTGCACTCTGGCCCAGATACTGTACTTTTCCCACAGTCTTCACAATCGCAGACCAGGAGATTCCCTCTTGTGCCTACGCCACCAGGACCTGGGCTTCAAGCACAAAACTGGGTGGCTGTTTGGGCAGACACTGAGCTAGCTGCAGGAGTTTTTTGTTTATTTGTTTGTTTTTTCATATCCCAGGGGTGCCTGGAATGCCAGCAAGACAGAACTATTCACTTCCCTGGAAAGGCAGCTTAAGCCAGGGAGCCAAGTGGTCTGGCTTGGCAGGTCCCACCCCCATGGAGTCCAGCAAGCTAAGATCCACTAGCTTGAAATTCTCGCTGCCAGCACAGCAGTCTGAGCTTGACCTGGGATGCCAGAGCTTGGTGTGGGGAGGAGCGTCCACCATTACTGAGGCTTGAGTAGGTGGTTTTACCCTCACAGTGTAAACAAAGCCACTCAGAAGATCAAACTGGGTGGAGCCAACTGCAGCTCAGCAAGGCTGCTGTGGCTAGACTGCCTCTCTAGATTCCTCCTTTCTGGGCAGAGCATCTCTGAAAAAAAAACGCAGCAGCCCCAGTAAGGGGTTTATAGATAAAACCCCCAAATCCCTGGGACAGAGCACCCGGGGGAAGGGGTGGCTGTGGGCTCAGCTTCAGCAGACTTAAACATCCCTGCCTGACAGCTCTGAAGAGAGCAGTGGATCTCCCAGGACAGGGTTTGAGCTCTGCTAAGGGTCAGACTGCCTCCTTGAGTGGGTCCATGGCCCCCATGTCTCACGATTGAGTGACACCTCCCAGTAGGGGCTGACTGACACCTCATACAGGAGAGCTCTGGCTGGCATCTGGCAGGCATCATTCTGGGATGAAGCTTCCAAAGGAAGGAACAGGCAGCAATCTTTGCTGTTCTGTAGCCTCTGCTGGTGATACCCGGGCAAACAGGGGCTGGAGTCTACCTCCTGCAAACTCCAGCAGATCTGTAGCAGAGGAGCCTGACTGCTAGAAGGAAGACTAACAAACAGAAAGGAATAGCATCAACATCAACAAAAAGGACATCCACTCAGACACTCCGTCTGAAGGTCACCAAGTTCAAAGACCAAAGGTAGAAACATCCAAGAAGATGGGGAGAAACCAATGCAAAAAGGCTGAAAATTCCAAAATCCAGAATGCCTCTTCTCCAAAGGATCACAACTCCTCACCAGCAAGGGAACAAAACTGGATGGAGAATGAGTTTGACGAATTGACAGAAGTGGGCTTCAGAAGGTGGGTAATAACAAACTCCTCCGAGCCAAAGGAACATGTTCTAACCCAATGCAAGGAAGCTAAGAACCTTGAAAAAAGGTTAGATGAATCGCTAACTAGAATAACCAGTTTAGAGAAGAACCTACATGACCTGATGGAGTTTAAAAACACAGCACAAGAACTTTGTGAAGCAAACACAGGTATCAATTGCCGAAACGATCAAGCAGAAGAAGGGATATCAGAGATTGCAGGTCAACTTAATGAAATAAAGCAAGCGGACAAGATTAGAGAAAAAATAATGAAACGAAATGGGACTCCAAGAAACATGGGACTATGTGAAAAAACCAAATCTACGTTTGACTGGTGTATACCTGAAAGTGATGGGGAGAATGGAACCAAGTTGAAAAACACTCTTCAGGATATTATCCAGGAGAACTTCCCCAACCTAGCAACATTCAAATTCAGGAAATACAGAGAACACCACAAAGATACTCCTTGAGAAGAGCACCCCCAAGACACATAATCATCA